CTAGGTAGAGTTTCAGAGTAAGTCATCATGAAAAGTTAAAAATCAGAGTCATAAAAAAATATTCAGCAGCACTCATAGTAGCACACTAGCCATCAATCTGTCTTGTATGATTTGAACCATAACATATTTTTATAACAAATTTTGAAGTATTTTAGTTTGATGCAAAGGTTTCAATAACATCTCATCTAAATGTCCACTATTTTGGTACTCATTAGCATCTTGAATCACTGGAGAATTACTACTTCTCATTAACTTTAAATCACATGTCATTGTGGTTACATATAATGCTTTTTTTTTTGGTAGAAATTTGGATGAAATCATTTGCTGGATGGAGTAACCAAAACTTTCTTGATTTTATATGTTTATATATATATATATATATATATATATATATATATATATATATATATATATATATATATATATATATATATATATATATATATATATATATATATATATATATATATATATATATATATATATATATATATATATATATTTATATATATATATATATATTTATATATATGTATATTGAAACAGTAAACCAGTAAAAAAGTGCAAAGAATAGAAAAGTTAACTGGTAGAATCATCAATAATGCACAATACATTTTATATCATAAAGTATTCTCTTCCAGTACAAAGTAATGGAAGGTATGAAAAGTATTTACAAAAATGCAACTTAAAAATGCAAGTAACAAAACCATTACAATCACTTGTGAAATTTGCAGCTTTATGTACAAGTAATGATAAAAGAGTTTATGTTTATTCATGTTAGAGACATACATTTTAAAATATTAGCTTCAACAACTGATCCAATGAAAAAATTTCAACATAAGTATATCCCCGGGGGTATAAAACTATAGCAGAAAGAAGTCACAGAAAAAAAATGTGTATGTGAGATTTGAAAAGTGTAATTTTTGTGTGCATTCTATTGACAAACTTAAACTGTGGCATTTACAAGGATTGGAATAGGATATTTTGTCTTTTATCTGACAGATTATATTAATGTTTGAATCCCATTTCATGACTAACTTCACTACACACAAACAATACACACCTAAGTATGTAGCACAGGGATAAAGGGAAAATATATACACACAAACATAACATAACATAAAGCATATAAACCAAGACAGTATCTCAACACCTAGAAATGAACATAACATTCAATGACTTTGAAATGCCAACATCAAATTTTTTAATGCTAGAACCACATAACTTCAATTAGTAGATTTATGTTTGTTTTTGTTTAGTTCATACAATCTTGGTTTTCTTACAGCAAATATTTTATTGAACTTCATACTATAACATATATCCCAACATATTTGTATGCATTGCGATCACGCATTTAATATACATTCTTATATTATACAAACAAGAAAATATCAGGGTTAATCAATAACTTTCTTTCTGTGACCATTTCAAGCTATCTCATCAAACATAAAGTGATGTTGAAATTTAACGACACAGGAAAAAATTAATTTCTCCACTTCTATTTGTATTTAAGTATAGCAACACTATGAGAGGTAGACTACATGCACTCTTGTTTCAATAAATGCAGTATGGATAAGCAAGCTAATCAGGACAATGTGATTACACCCTATGATACAACCTTTAAAAATGCCCATGTAGATGTGAAATTTCCATCATGTCCTTTTATAGATTAGTAATCTATGCTTAAAAGTGTGTAATAAAATTTGTTAAGAGTAAAGTAGCTGTCACAAATACAAGTAAACATTACAATTTTGTAAGAGTAATGCAGATGTCACAAATACAACTGTCATATCCAAACCTTACAATTTTGTAAGTGTTAAGTAGATGTCACGATTAGAACTGCCATATCTAATCATTACAATTTTGTTAGTGTTCAGTAGATGTCACCATTAGAACTGCCACATCTAATCATTACAATTTTGTTAGTGTTCAGTAGATGTCACCATTAGAACTGCCATATCTAATCATTACAATTTTGTTAGTGTTCAGTAGATGTAGCTAGGCCAATGCAAAAATTTAATTTCAGTAAAACAATATAATAGTTACATATTTGGATAGGAGCTGTCAATCTGATTACAGATCAGTTTGAATTTTCAAAATCTGACCATAAACAAAAAAGTTATGAATTGTTTAGTCATTAAAAAACAGCAGTTTTTTCAGACAACCGGGGTAGACCCTGAAAGAGGAAAAATACTGGGAGGGTATGGACCAAATTTTTAAGCGTTTTTCACTAAAAGTGGTATAAAAGCCAGAATACTTTATCAATTGATGTAATTTTAAGACATTTGATAGATTTTTGTATGCTGAATCCAATGATGCTATTTTAAAAAGTGTCCTTCGATTACTCAACCTACTAATCTCATAGATTATGTAATACCCCCCTTTAAATTTTTTTTTAAACATCTAATAATCAACGTGATAAGAAGTCATTCTTTAAATGTAACGCTGTTTTAATCTAAAATATGACATTTGTATATGCACAAGCTAATGGTAGATTTGAAATGGTCCAACATTGTTACATAACTATCAAATGTTAAGGTTATGTAATCCCACCCTTTGCTCAAAATATACCATGAATTTGTTTTAAAATCACTTTTGCTCATTGTCAGTTAACTTTAAGTTAATAGCCTACTAGAAGAAAATATAACTAATCAAGTTTTTCAATACAAAGAGAAGAATGCTATAGTAAATTTGTGATTAGGTAACTTCTTAAAAGATATTATGTAATCTATGTGCAATACTATAGGCCTACTCTGTTCCAAAAATAAAGGCCTATCTCATTATAATTATATTGCTTGTTATTTTAAATATCTTAATCCTTTTTGCTATAGAATTAGTCTAGTTACAAATGTGTCTGATCAGAATCAGAGTGTGCTTTATGGTAATTACGTAATATTATTACCCATATTAAAGTTAATCATTTTTACAATGTCAATAAAATAAACTTTGGAGGAAAATATTTTTTTTTTAAACTTGCACAAGGTATAGATCTAGTTATAAATTTATATTTATGCCCAATGTTTATGCTAGTAGTAAGTATGTTTATGTATTTTGGAAGCCTACCAGTAGGCCTTTTACAATTAAAAACTTTCTTAAGAAAAAAGCACGTGTTTGAGTGCTTGACTGTGTAGATCTAGTAGATTCTAGAAATTGTGTAAGATTACCGTGTTTGGCTATACACAGACACGTTTACCACCATCAGCTTTTGCCTAGATTTAGTTCAATCAGACATGTGGGTAACCAGGTCTTCTGACGAACGAATTTTATTGCCCTATTACGTAAACACGACCGCTGGATAGGCTAGTCGGCCAACCCGATGAACGTGTCAGATGAATATTATGTAATCTCAGAGACAAAAGTCTGGCAAGATTTCCTGATCTATGCCCGAGGGTTAGTAACATCAACTCCACAAAGTGAAGGGGGAGGGAGGTGGGGTATGAAACCACCGTGTACCGTACGGGTGTTATACAACATCAAAAGCGATGCTCGTCGGCTTGTCGCGTCACCGACTAGTGGGGGCTGGGTGAGGCTATGGGTGTTACATACGGTGTAGGATGGTCAGTGGCTACCCCCATCCACCCCACCCCATTTTGGTCGATTTGGCAAGCTAGTGGTATTAAAATTTGTAGAAAAGAGCCCCGGATATAATTTAATTTATTTTTAAAGCCATTTTTACGAAAATGTAATGTACACAATAATGAAACGTTACACGAATCAAATCACAGCATTGTTTGATCGGGCCGAAGCTATTCGGATTAATTTCTAAAGAAGATTAATTTTGACGAATAGTCCTCAGCCGTAAATACTAACAAAACTTTTGTTTGACGTTTCAATGGGTTGAGACAAAGTTATGCAACATGTCTGTGTGCTTATAAATATAAAGTAGCAATAGCCGTCGAGTCAAACACGGGAACACATGTATCTATCTTTAGATATTGTTTATAGTCTCATCCAATCCGATCAAGCGCCTAGCGTCACGTGACCACACACTCGGCTGTGCCACACGATGTGTAGATCACCAATCAGTCGGACGGCGGCCGACGCGTTAATTTTTATTTTCGTTCGGTTTTAAAATGTATGGACGGGTTTATTACGAGGTGCTATATTACATGTCATACATTAAAATAAACGGCGGGATTTCGGGAATACAGCTCAGGGTTCAAATGTAAAATATGTCCAATAATAGACCGGGAAACTTGGTTCAACTTTGCGGTCCGATGTCTCCAAAAGTATTTAACTTATTTTGACCACGAACCCTGAGCGTTATACGTCTACATTTAATGTATTCGTCTGCCAAATTTAACTGTTGTAGTACGTAAACTCGATACGTGTATACAAATTTTGTAACGCGTCATCAGTTTAAAGACGGCGATTTGAAGCACAGCAGGGCGGTTCAGTCAGACAGCGGTCGGCGCGTCGTGTTTATATTTTCGGTCCACTTCAAAGTCTATAGACGTCCTTATTATAGGGCCTTATAGGACGTATCATACATATTAATAAACATCGAGATTTCAGGAATACAGCTCAGGGTTCAAATAAAAAATCGGTCCATAAATAGCTCAAATAACTTAGTTTAACTTTGCGGTCTGATATCTCCGAAAGTATTTAACATATTTTAACCAAGAACCCTGAGCGTTATACGTGTACATTTAATCTATTCTTCTACCAAGTTTCACAGTTGTAGTACGAAAACTCACAGAGTCTATAGACCCCAAGTAACACCCCCCTTTTAAAAAGGTGAAAAAGCCTCCCCCCTAATCGGCACGTCGCCGCGGAGGGTAAAAAATGCGATTTAATCGGCGATTTCTTCAACGTCTGAAATAATAGAGAAATCAAACTAATACAGTTAAAAAGGTAATTCAATTACGAACAGAATGATGTATAACATGTTAATATAAACACAATAAAAGCATGCAAAAAAACAGAGTTAAACATGCAGGGGGTAGGGAAAAGCCGATTTGTCCGATTTTCTCGGCAGCGGCATTGGCCTAGCTAGTAGATGTCACCATTAGAACTGCCATATCTAATCATTACAATTTTGTTAGTGTTCAGTAGATGTCACCTTTAAAACTGCCATATCTAATCATTACAATTTTGTAAGTGTAAAGTACTTGTCACCTTTAACACTGTCATATCCAAACCTTAGAATTTAGGTAGCGTCCAATGGCTGTCTCCGTTTGTCCCCATGTAGGCCCCCCACTTCTGCTGAGAGAAAGGAAGAAGATTTGCACATTGTGCGTTGCTTTCTGTGCTGTTGGCCAACTTGGAACATGAGAACTTTAGCCTCAATCTGCAAGTAAAAATATTTTTTAAAAAGTGTTTTTTTCTTTAGCTTGGTCACATTAAGAATTTTGGTGAAAATATTTGGTTTAATATGCCAGAATGCTCGTGACACTTGTAGAATAATTGTAAACAAATCATTAGAGTTTAGATGTTTTTATTTAATTGAGTAAATCTCACTAATAAAATAAGACAACTCTATCCTGACAAGAATTCTTCACTATGTGAATTATTTGAGTTACCTGTAGACTGTCCCATCAATGTGAATTATTTGACTTACCTGTATACTATCACCTGTCCATCAATGTGAAATATCTGATTTACCTGTTGACTGTCCCATCAATGTGAAATATTTGAGTTACCTGTAGACTGTCCCATCAATGTGAAATATCTGATTTACCTGTAGACTGTCCCATCAATGTGAAATATTTGATTTACCTGTAGACTGTCCCATCAATGTGAAATATCTGATTTACCTGTAAACTGTCCCATCAATGTGAAATATTTGACTTACCTGTATACAGTCATCTGTCCCATCAATGTGAAATATTTGACTTACCTGTATACAGTCATCTGTCCCATCAATGTGAAATATTTGACTTACCTGTATACAGTCATCTGTCCCATCAATGTGAAATATTTGACTTACCTGTATACAGTCATCTGTCCCATCAATGTGAAATATTTGACTTACCTGTATACAGTCATCTGTCCCATCAATGTGAAATATTTGACTTACCTGTATACAGTCATCTGTCCCATGTTTAGGTCCAGTGGGTTGTAGGCGTCGTCTGAGTTGGAATAAGTTCCTTCCTCTTCAGCCAGGTGATCTGAGAGTTTCAGACAATCTTTTGTGATGGCTTCTTCATACTCCTCATGGCTCAGCTGGAAGTAGGGACCTGAGCCAAATTGGAAAAAATATTTTTCACTCCATTTCTCTCAGAAATATATCCTCTAATCAACATTAAAAACATTTGAAAAAATATACCTCTTTGTAAAATCTATTTTGATTTCAAGTAAGTCTTTTTATTCGTTAATTCTGTTTTTGTATACTACATGCTGGCCTATTAAAACTTAAGTAGCCTATAAACAAAACATTGTTTTTAATTTCATTACATTAAAATAATCAGAAAAGCCAATTCAACAAGAAGCTGCAAAGATGGATGGATGTAGTGCTATTTAAATTACCTTCATAACGACTTATTTGTGGGAAGTTTTTTTTTTTAAATCTATAAACAGCAAAAAATTCAATGGGGAGTGTTAAGAGTAAAATAAGATCTTACTGCTAGCAACGTTGCGCACCACGCCCTCCTGCGCTAATTTTTCTGCAATACATTTCTGATCTTGTGGCAGGATAGCGTGGGTGTTGGCAGGGAAAAACCAGTAGGTGGCGAAGATGATGTCGATGGATCGGTTGTAGTCAGGGTGGGAGGGGGGCAGGGTGGTTGGTGCCAGAACTCCAGTCGACAGAAGCCGCTGTGAGAAAAATTGATGTTTGTGTTTAGTTGAACAACTGTCTGGTATAGAGCTGTGTTTAATATGGGAGTAACTGGGTTAAAAGTAAAGTATGTAATGTAAAGGCACCATTTCAGTCATGCCAGTTAATATTGCAGGTGAAAAAGAGTTCACCTGTTTCTGTGACCTAAAAAATTAGAAAGATAGTGTGGTTAGTTCTATGCCCCATCTGTCTTAACCTTCCCCAAAATAAGTCAAGTACCTATTAGAGCTGAGTGGACTCAGGGACTATCTAGGAACTCTAAACTTGGTGGTTTAAAAGGCTTGGGTTATGTGGTGGATTATCAAAGTTAGCTGTTAAAAAATTTAGCCTCTAGTGATTATTGCCGTAGATCAGGGGTCTCCAAACTACGGCCCGCGGGCCGAATGCGGCCCGCGAGGTCCTCTCATCCGGCCAGCGGAGATCTTTTTGTCCACGGAAAATACGTTTGTTGGTGATGGCTGAGGAACTTTGCCCAGAAAATCAAAGACATCCCTGGAAGAAACTGGCCCCCGAACTGAAATTTGTTAGTTAATGCGGCCCTCGGACTGAAAAGTTTGGAGACCCCTGCCGTAGATGAATTTTATTCTTCTTTGACATGCTTAAAGAACGTTGATTCTAATTACCTGTTACTTCCTAAAACAGTTGTTTTCATTAAAAAATATATTGTGTTTTGTAAGTAAACTCATTTTAAAAAATAATGTTTGAATAACAAAAAAGTTAAAATGTTTATAGGATAATTAATTAGCAATAGTAAATCTAAATGAGTCCTCGTAAAAAAAAAATTATTAGTAAATTAAGCAAACAAACAAAAAATTCGGGTAAATTAAAACACAAACAAAAAATGTCTGTGAATTAAACAGAAGAAACACCTGTAAGTTAAACAAGATGAAACAAACAACTGACCTGCAGTCCGTCGTCATCGTGAGGCCCCACATGTCTCTTCCATCTACCCTCCCTTGACTGTCTCTTGGCCATGAACTTTGACCTTATATCAACAGGCTTTCTTTTCGCTGTCCTTTTACGTGCAGTCCTATAAGGATATCCTTGCTTATAGTAGTCACCAGTATCATCACCAGAAAAATACGGCCCGTACTGCGTTCCATAATATCCCTTTCCCGTATCCTTGTATGGGATCACGTACTCATCATACGGTAAAACCCCTTGGTTTTGGGGTTGGTTATACCCAGCCATTTGATTATAATTAGCATTATCTCCCTTGAGTGGGTATCCAGAGTTATCCATATACCCCTGTTTGTATGTTTTCTTTCTGCCAGAGACTGGGCCGCCTCCCCCTGGCCCCTTCTTGGAGCTGGTTCTGTGCCTGTCTGTGTACTCGGGTGGGGTGTCCAGCGCCTCAGAGCGTTGGTACTCACCATTGTCTGCCTCGGCCTGAAAGAAATCAGTGTATAGAATTGTTGGCCTGAAAGAAATCAGTGTATAGAATTGTTGGCCTGAAAGAAATCAGTGTATAGAATTGTTGGCCTGAAAGAAATCAGTGTATAGAATTGTTGGCCTGAAAGAAATCAGTGTATAGAATTGTTGGCCTGAAAGAAATCAGTGTATAGAATTGTTGGCCTGAAAGAAATCAGTGTATAGAATTGTTGGCCTGAAAGAAATCAGTGTATAGAATTGTTGGCCTGAAATAAATCAGTGTATAGAATTGTTGGCCTGAAAGAAATCAGTGTATAGAATTGTTGGCCTGAAAGAAATCAGTGTCTAGAATTGTTGGCCTGAAATAAATCAGTGTATAGAATTGTTGGCCTGAAAGAAATCAGTGTATAGAATTGTTGGCCTGAAAGAAATCAGTGTATAGAATTGTTGGCCTGAAAGAAATCAGTGTATAGAACTGTTAGCCTGAAAGAAATCAGTGTATAGAATTGTTGGCCTGAAAGAAATCAGTGTATAGAATTGTTGGCCTGAAAGAAATCAGTGTCTAGAATTGTTGGCCAGAAAGAAATCAGTGTATAGAATTGTTGGCCTGAAAGAAATCAGTGTATAGAATTGTTGGCCTGAAAGAAATCAGTGTATAGAATTGTTGGCCTGAAAGAAATCAGTGTATAGAATTGTTGGCCAGAAAGAAATCAGTGTATAGAATTGTTGGCCTGAAAGAAATCAGTGTATAGAATTGTTGGCCTGAAATAAATCAGTGTATAGAATTGTTGGCCAGAAAGAAATCAGTGTATAGAATTGTTGGCCTGAAAGAAATCAGTGTATAGAATTGTTGGCCTGAAAGAAATCAGTGTATAGAATTGTTGGCCAGAAAGAAATCAGTGTATAGAATTGTTGGCCTGAAAGAAATCAGTGTATAGAATTGTTGGCCAGAAAGAAATCAGTGTATAGAATTGTTTGCCTGAAAGAAATCAGTGTATAGAATTGTTGGCCTGAAATAAATCAGTGTATAGAATTGTTGGCCAGAAAGAAATCAGTGTATAGAATTGTTGGCCAGAAAGAAATCAGTGTATAGAATTGTTGGCCAGAAAGAAATCAGTGTAAAGAATTGTTGGCCTGAAAGAAATCAGTGTATAGAGTTGTTGGCCAGTAAGAAATCAGTGTATAGAATTGTTGGCCTGAAAGAAATCAGTGTATAGAGTTGTTGACAGTAAGAAATCAGTGTATAGAATTGTTGGCCTGAAAGAAATCAGTGTATAGAATTGTTGGCCTGAAAGAAATCAGTGTATAGAATTGTTGGCCTGAAAGAAATCAGTGTATAGAATTGTTGGCCTGAAAGAAATCAGTGTATAGAATTGTTGGCCTGAAAGAAATCAGTGTATAGAATTGTTGGCCTGAAAGAAATCAGTGTATAGAATTGTTGGCCTGAAAGAAATCAGTGTATAGAATTGTTGGCCTGAAAGAAATCAGTGTATAGAATTGTTGGCCTGAAAGAAATCAGTGTATAGAGCTCTGTTGACAGTGGACTCAGCTGGTGTGGTTGACCTCCCCCATTAACCTACCAATATACCCCAATTGTCTTACATTAAATTGTAGGTGTTGGTTACAGCCCACTGATGTTGATTTATTTTCAAAATTTAGAATTTTAAAAATTTTACATTTATATAAATAGAGGTCTTATATATATATATATATATATATATATATATATATATATATATATATATATATATATATATATATATATATATATATATATTTACATATTTTTACACAAACACACACATTTCAATGTGCTTACATACATACTTATAAACATATATATGCCCACTTACAAAATCTATCTATTAAAATCACTTATGAATGGATTTTTTACACCCCTACCCCCCAATTACAAAATCCTGTCTTTACCACTAATAGTCCTTTAAAAATTAGAATTCTTAAACAATAAATAATGTGTTTTAACAAGTAGACCTCTCATCTATTGATGACATCATAAATTTAACTAAAGATAACTAGGTTTAAATTTGATAAGCTATATTATATAGGCCTATAATGTCTAAAAGATAATATTAGCTACATGTAATTGGGTTTTAAAGCACAGATCCCTTATAAAAACAGAATTCATTAGCATGAAATAAATGGGTTTCACTGTTAAAAGATAAAAGTTAACTCTTTTAAGCTGAAGATAACTTAGATTAATTTCTAAGGTCAATGTCAGCCTTAAGAGTTATCCTCAGGGGTCATCCATAATTGATGGCTCTCTATTTTTATGCCTTTTACCTCCCTTTCCACCTTACTGTCACATATCATAACAAAAAAGCCAGACCCCCCCCCCCCCCCCACTCCTAAAATAACGCCACACCTCAAGCGACAACCCCATTCAAAATAGCAGTTTATTTTTTTAAACTTCAATTTGTTTTCCAAACCATAGACTGACCTTGGCCAACATAAAGTATATTTATCAATTTCTACTACATTTTACAAAAATTTTCAATATCAGCTAAAATTTAGTTTCTAACATCACATAATTAAAATGCAAAAGTATGACCACACTATCTTGCCCCCCCCCCCCCTCATCCTACACTGTCACAAAATTATAACCCTCCCCTCTCCCCTAGGAGTGTTACATCATCTATAGATGACCCATCAACAATGTGTGTGAAGGTTTGCTAAGATTTTGGACTAGAAGGTTAAACTTCTGTTTTTAATGACCGTATGTACACCAATTGTGTTTTTAATGACTGTATGTACACCAATTGTGTTGGCCTAAAATAAAACTATTGGCTAACAATCAAGAAACAGAGTCTTTTTCAGGTACAACAGTGCTGCTCCCCCCCCCCCCCACCCCACTAAAGGAAATAGAAAAACATAATTTATTTAGAACCAATAGGGCCAATACTTTAACCCAAGTCATGAAACACTCATGAAGGGATGAAACAAACAAGTATCTATGCTATTTGAACCAGTGTGATTAATTCTGAAAAAAAAAAAAAAAAAAACTATTTTAAACTTAACAGTTAAAAAACATAACTTACACCCACCCACGTTGAAGGCGCCAGTTGATTTATAAACTCTGGATGTTTCATTATATACTCGTACGCCTCAGCAGTTGTGTTCACCCATTTGCTGTGTTCAATAGTCTTCCTATCATCTGAAATTTGATGAATTATTTTCATATTTTTACAATTTTTACCCATATTAATTTTAAAATTAGAAAAAAATAACTAAATGCCTATACAACGACAAATGTATGAAATTGATTGGATAAAAACTGCTGTGTGCTGATGACGACCTTGCGTAGAAACGTCCATAGTATTTGTAACTGTCTTTAACTTGTGAGGTAACTAACACTATCTGTTTTATTACTTATTGTTTTAACCTCACTGCAGCTACCATTTGGATAAACACTTGAAACTGTAGCAGTATAAAATCCAACCTGAGTTATAAATAGAAACTCCAAGCTTTGGAAGATTTCTACCAAGAGCTACCAGTCTGGAGTATTCATTGGATTTGAACCTCAGTCGACATAGGTTAGCCCTACTCTTTTCATGGTCTTTTGTCCCTATGATAAAACATAAACAAGTGAATTAATTATATCAATTTATTTGAAAAACAAAACAAAACCACTTAAGATTTACTCTATAGGATTATCAACAATATGGTGGTACTGGTATTTATATTTCACAAATTTCTTTGTGGTGGCCTCTATTGAGCAAAGGACTGCAACCATATCTCTTCATCAAACACAGTTTTAAGCGGTTCTCTTTATATATCTCTATAATTTTCAAGCACTAATTTATTACTTTACTGCATTTTAGCTTGGGATGCAGATTAAAATCACAAGGGAAAAGCTGTAAATCAATACAGAAATAAAACGACAATGAAAAAAGGCAACTGAAACACCTCACAGAAATAAAACGACAATGAAAAAAAGGCAACTGAAACACCTCACAGAAATAAAACGACAATGAAAAAAGGCAACTGAAACACCTCACAGAAATAAAACGACAATGAAAAAAAGGCAACTGAAACACCTCACAGAAATAAAACGACAATGAAAAAAGGCAACTGAAACACCTCACAGAAATAAAACAACAATGAAAAAAGGCAACTGAAACACCTCACAGAAATAAAACGACAATGAAAAAAGGCAACTGAAACACCTCACAGAAATAGCTTACCCTACCCTTCACAAAACTGAACTCCTCTGTTGACCCCTCGTGACCTTTACAGTCAGCCATCCAGACTATAAAAACATCATTGCCCGCCCCCTCCATGGCCACGGACAGGGGAGAGGACTGTGATCCTATTGTGTCTCGCAGGGGAGGATCAATCAATTTCTTGCCTGTTTTTCCATCTATCACTGTTGTCTGGGAAAAACAAGAAAGAAAAAAAATTCTCTTTCAGAAAAAAACGCTACACACACAATAGCAGTGAAACAGTGGCAGGATCATAGTTTCCTGTAGCCTTTATTTCCTTCTTGAAATTTAAAAAAAAAATTAATGTGGAAATTTTTTTTTTAATGACTTGCCTCTGAGTAATAGTAAACTGGATACCCTGGTCCGTAGGCATACTTCACTAAAAAATCTGGCACATCATCATCATTGTAGAAACCAACAGCAGGGGTGCTAGTTTCATTTTAATAGAAAAGGTCAGAGGTGATGATTTGATCAGGGGGTAGTTGAATACATTTATTCTATAGATAATAATAGTTTGATCATTAGAAGTTCACTATTGGGGGAGTAATGTCTTGGAAGTATCTAGCATCTATTTTAGCCAGTATTTAGCAACTAGTAGACTGATGGTGAATTTTAATTTCCTCATTATCTGATCTCATTAGCCCACTTTATTCACACCCCCATCCCAACCTATATTTCTGCACAAATAACAAGCTAATATATAGTGTGATGCCAATTGAATACAAGAACGTCATTTAAAACACAATGTTATGAGATGAGCTTTTTTACGTTCCAATAGTTTTATCTAAATCAATGATCAATGATAAGCCTAGATCAAACTGAAAGCAAACCTAAGCCTAGTCTTTGTCCTAATCCTTTAAGGCAGGGGTTAGCAAAGATTTATACCAAGAAGTCTGTGTCTATAATTAGTTTATCATATACAATATTTTATACTTCAACAAGAAATATAATTAAATAACATAAAATTGAACAATGATATTTGATATATTCTTTTTTTTAATTTCCTAGCAGAACTTAGGCAGCACAGTGCAGAAACCTATCTTCACATCCAAATGTTATTCCTAAATAATGTGTTATTAAAGTTTTTTTCTGTAAATAAACCACATAACTGAGTGAACCTACCTGTAAGATTCTGACATGGGAAATATGACCGACCAAACTGGCAAGTATGTCCTGCCATCTATGGCCAGCAGGGTGGAGTTGAACATGGGGATGATGATGTCCTCGACCCCGTCCTGCGTGATGTCAACTAATGACGGAGGTGTCATGAACCCTTTGTGGGTGTCAGATGACATTTTAATGGCCTGGAACATTTTTTTCAATATCAGAATAATCAATAGATTTTAAAATTAAAAAGGAACAGTGATCCTTTGATTTTTGAATGATTTTATTTTAAATGTTTCCAGATGAAAAACATGTCCTGTTTGTTCTTAAGTAGGTCTAGAATATGTCTATAGCTTTTAAAATCTAATTATTTGATAGGCACAATTTAAGAGTTAGTTCTAATATACTAGTTGTTTCTTTTTAAATCTAGTTATTAAATAAGAATATTAATTATTAAATAATATAAAACTTATGTTCTTATATAAGCACATATTACATCTGGTATGCTTATAATAAATGTTGTTTTTTTTATCTAGTAAGTGAATGGATTAATTTTCTTTATCTTTATTTTTATTATAAGTGCCAGTTTCTAAAGTAGACAATAGCTTGAATTGCACTTACATCTAAACTTATATTATTTCTTTTTAATTGATAGTCTAGGTCTAAACAAACATGTGGTATGGCCTAAAAACATCACAACCTAAATAATAAGGATACTATTTCTATCCTATCACTACCTAATTTCCGGGTCTGTAAAATTTATAAGATAAGAGATAAACTAAACAGTCCAAATGATAGGCCATTTAAAATTTATTAATTTAACTTTGATTCAAGACATTTCATTAGAATAATAATATTAATATAATATTAATAATAAATATACATTAACAAGGACAGGTCATTAATTTATTACAATTTACATGAACACTTAATTTTAAACAGCTACCAAAATGTACTGCCCACCTTATCCATTAGGCCCTTCTTTAAGCTTTGAACCTCCACCCTCCAGAGCGATCCGTTATGTGTCTCCCCACCGGTACCAAACAGCATCACCTGGACGCCATCGACTTGAGTCAGTAGCTGAGGAGAGTAATAGGACTCTCGGTTGTCAGGGACGCCGAGCGACCGAACGACTTCCCCTGTCCTTCCGCTGACTATCATTATTCTTCCAGACAATCTGTGGGCGCTGCCTAGACGAAAGTAATAATTATGTCATCAGGTTTTCCCAGACGAAAGTAACAATTATGTAATCATGTTTTCAAACTTCTTTTCACAGAGACAGTGCTATGTAAAGAATCGGCTAACTAAAAGCAAAGAAGTGTTGTTGTTGACATTTTTAAATGTCTCGAACACAATTCTACACTTGTGAACGTACCAGATTTTTTTTTGGCCGGGTACAATGTAAAATAAATAAATTTAAATAAGAAACTTCATTTAAAGTCAAACTATAGTTTTTAATTAAATGACTAGTAGGCTTTGAATAATTTAAATAGTATTTTGATATATTTTAAAATAGAGATACACTTTAAACAACAGCTAAAGGCCTAATTCTAAAATCTAAATTAACAGCTATCCTATCCTATAGGCCTAATTCTAAACTTACCCGCCTCCTGTAGCGGGTCACCGCCATGTATTGTAACAATGTCTGCCACATTGTCACCGTTTATGTCCCCAATGTACTGGGGGGTGTAAAAGTTCATCACCGGGTTCACAGCGTCCGTTGTCCCCAACTCCCATAGAACGGCTCCGTCTTTACCGCTGACAGCAAGAAATGTCTGCAATAGTTTGGAATTAAATTATCCTATTTAGTGTTTATTAGCTTTGTTATTTAGTCTGTCCGTAACTAGATTTAGTATGCCAAGGGAAACAACCAAGGAAATACCGAACTTAAACCAAGCCAACAATAGTAATGAGAGGGGGGGGGGCGCACGAAAATTAAGTGATTTTTTTTTAACTTAAATAATTATGGGTTAATAAGTTTGTGTTTTATACCTTGTTATACTATAATCAGTTAATTCAGCAGAGCAAAATCCATCAGTGTGATCAATATTCTTAAAACAAAGCACTTAGTTTTTAGACCGTCCCGCCCACCATTTGTTTTAGGGTTTGAGGCCACACCACCCCATACAAAAGCCACACCACCCCACACATAGACCACACACCCCACACATAGGCCACAGACCCCTAGCTCAAACACAATCTGAAACAAACATCATCTGAAACAAACATCATCTCAAACAAACACTATCTGAAACAAACACCATCTCAAACAAACATCATCTGAAACAAACACTATCTGAAACAAACACCATCTGAAACAAACACCATCTGAAACAAACACCACCTGAAATCTATAAAACCAAGTATAAAACACCACCCCAAACCTAAACACAACCTCACGCAATTACAATCAGACATCCTATCTAAAACCCCAAACATAACACCACCTTGGTTGAAACACCATCTAAAATATCACACACCAACCCAATCTATGACACCACAATGAGCCCAAACACCATGACAAATCATAAACACCAATTTAAGCATTAGACACTACCTTGGATCTACCATTTGAAATCTTAGACACAATCTCATGCGTACTGCACACACTCTGTCTTAAAATAACACCAGAACCATCTTAAATACCACCTGAAGTATACGATATGCCCCTAACCTAACCACCACGTCTAACTAAACCAACACCACCTCTAACTTACACCACCAAAAACCACCTTCAACAATTATCTTTAAACCACCTCACTTTCCTCTAAATCAATTTATCATTTAAGTTTTAAAACGTTTCCTCCTACAAATATAAGGCTACAAAGTCGATCTATGTTGTGATGTCCTTTAAAGTTTAAACGCAGGATTTCACCAAGAAACAATATTTTTAGAATTGAATAGCCTCCCTTGATTGATTAAGAAATTTCGTTGTAAAAAGTGACCTCCCTTTACTTCTATTAAAAGATGGATGATTTGTTGACTAGATTTATCATACTTGTTTAAAAAAAAATTATATCGCGGACACCTTCTTTTGCGATTATTAATAAACGAGCAGAGGCGTATACAGGTTTTCGTTGTAGGGGGAGCGAAATGAGCAAAAAAAGGCGCCGAATTTTGAACACGTTCTATATACGTGTATATATATATATATATATATATATATATATATATAATATATATTATATATATATATATATATATATATATATATATATATATATATATATATATATATATATATATATATATATAATTACTAGCTGTATGTCATTACTTCGCTATGATGTAAAATAAATTGTAAGTAGCACTTGAAGAAATAAGAAAAGACACACAATGTAGGCCGACAAAACAAAAAAATTTATTAATCTAAACAAATATATATATATATTATATATATATATATATATATATATATATATATATATATATATATATATATATATATATATATATATATATATATATATATATATATATATATATATATATATATACACACTACAACCAAAAACAATAAACGCAACACAATCTGTTTTGTAATTCTTGTAAAAAAAATTTTTACATAATATTTCCTGGGACAATACTTAAGACAAGCGAAATAGGGGAAATGATCACGCTCTAAATATAAATATGTATATATACATATTTAATTATAAATGTCAAAACAACTCAATAATTACTTAAGAATGTCATAAAGTTGTTTAACAATATTCGTGTTTACAAAAGATTTTGGTCTACAATCAGAATTAAATATATTGTTATCATAAATGCTAAAGTATTACAGCATAATGAAAGTTTTTTTTAAAAATCATAGTTGGTATAAAAACACGCTTTAAATTTATTAGAAAAGCATTTGGAATAAAAGCATACATTTAACTAAAAAATCGGTCTTTAATTCAGATCATACATCTTTTAATTAACTACTGCTTTGTGTGTTCTTTAAAGATCATTTTTAACATAGTGATATGGTATGGGTTAGATCACTGTATTGATCACACACCTTTTTACTGGTAATGGCAAAAATAATATTCACAGAGTTTTACCTGTTTCAAAAGCTATGATTCTGACGGCATGGTATTTTGGTACATCGTTAGGCGTTTTCACCAAATATACTTAACAGATCAGTTCGGGGTAACTTGGGGGGGGGGGGGGGTTCAACTTCATTCCACCACTGTCCGGTCACTTTAGGTCAATTATCCAACCCAGTGTATACCTAGGTGTGACATTAATGTCGCTCTACACAATTTGTGGTGGTGAGGTGCGTGTGCGGTAGGGGGGGGGGAGATAACCAACTCAGAGTGAACGTAGCGTCAGTTTTTAGATGACTGTTCTAAACATACATATTCAATTACACATATATACTGATTCAGAAATAGATTTAAATAAGTAGTAGTGGTATTATGACAAACTTTTTTCACAGAGAATCCATGGGGGGGGGGGGGGGGGGGGAGGGGGGGGTTGTAACTGTTTCATATAATTTGTAATCGTAATCACTATCCGCCCAAACTGTCCTAATACAACTACTTTATCGTGATGACGCTGTTGACCTTGTCAAAATTTCCCCACCACTACGCAGTTTGCCCATAAGTAAATTTAAATAGAGGC